CTAATTGGCACAGTGTGTCCTACTGCCCAAAGACTGCAGTTAGTCCCGATTCACATGGCAGTGTGCGCACATATATGTGCTGTTTGTGAGGACACGTGGCACCTCCCGATAGCTGTTGCCAAGACTGAAAAGTGGCAAGATTTGCCTCGAAGGATTTTGCATTTGAAAACCTTAAAATCTAATAAATAATAATAACAATAATAATAATAATTTTTAGAAAGGAAGATTTGTAAGAGCTTTGTTTGAATAAGAGGCAAAAAAAAATATTCACCAACAGCATTAGAAGATATCCAGGAAGCCATGGAAGCTATTTATTTCACTTTTGTGGGTGTGCTATGCAATCATTAAGAGCATTGGTGTAAATCAATAAGCAGGACTTCTTTCTGCTTCTCTCTGACAATACCACACTTTCATAGGACTTTTGCATCCCTGTAATCATGTTCTTTGATTCACCAATGATTTAATTTCTTGCTAAAAAAAAGAAAATGCAAAGAAACACACACGCACACACACACTGTTGTATGCATATCTGGTGATTTTATGCGCATTTTTAAAAACTGTAATTCCTTTTCAGAAATAAATGATTGCATCAATTTAACATGTTGCTGCCTCAAATTGGCAGTTAGCATATATTAAAGAATAATTGCATACAGGTGTAATAAGTCAGCAGCGGCAACAGCAATCAAATAAACGACTTCATTAGGCGAATGTATGGAAGTAGCGTTCAGCTGATCTGGATGTTACTAATGACTTCATGCGTCCCACTGAAACTACACCATCAGCTCTAACCTCCATGTTTTTTTTCCTGGCACGCCGATTAAATCACTGCTGGGCGACACAGCGACACAGTAACACACTTCACAACGCTGACCGTACCTTCTCACGTCGCAACAAAGGAAACCCAAGAATTACAGCGCGAGAGTCGCCGTAAGCAAAGCTACACGACAGCAAAGCCTAGATCGCTGTTAAACAGGTCATAATACGTCTTCATGCTATAGATCCCACTGTGTTAATGGTAAAAAATGGCTATGTGAGCAGCTCTAAGAATCAGTTTTATGTATTGCCCTGTCGCACAAATGCAAAGCCTGGCGAGCTGTGAAATTGGAGAATGACAGATATATTTCATTAAATATTTAGCATGTCAACAAATAATGTTACTGCAATACTGTAAATAGAAAGCAACATAAAGAACGAAGGAAAAATAGTATTTAAAATAAAGGATCTTAAATGGGTAAACCATTCATCACAATTAGAGCCACTCA